GTCAGATAATTGGGCGACCCATTGGGTGACCCACGGGGCAAGACCTTATGCCCATACCGTACCCACAACTAATGCTAGATTAGGTAACATCACCAGCCAAACAACTTGGTAGTTTTGATAAAACTGAGAAAAACCGAAGTTTTAAGGAAATGTAGTATTCCTTGGCATCCTGCAAAAAAAGGGCGCATGTGGGTGGGATTTGAACCAACAACTTCTTCATTCTACATAAGCTGCAGTAACCAACCGGACAACCACATCAGATGTGTTCATTTACATCTTCTTCCTTCTTTTTCTTTTTTTCCTTTTTCTGTTCCTTTTTCTCCTTTGTTTGAACTGTTTTGTTCTTTTTTTTCTTTGTTAAATGCATGAACTTTTCCAATTTCTTGAACTTTTTTTAATCAAAATCTGATGAACCTTTTCAAATTCATGAACTCCTTTTCAAAACCGATGAACTTTTTTTCAAAATCAAGGAACTTTTTTTTCAAAATTGATGAATTATTTTTCAAAATTTTTTATTTTTTTTCAAACCCATGAACTTTTTCTCAAAATTGATGAACTTTTTTTCAACTCGATGAACTCTTTTTCTTTTTTACAAAATTGATGAACTTTTTTCAAAATATTTTTTTATCAAAATCAATGAACATTTCTGAAAATCATTGATTTTGTTTTAAAATTTACCTTTTATTTTTTTCAAAATAATTTATATTGGTTTTACTAAAGGAAACGTTAACTAGGACGGAAGTGTATGGAAAAACTAGCTTGATCTAGTGCTTAATGCTTCAAGCCACAAATGTTGTCGTGCAGGGTTCAAATTTCAGTGGTTGCATATTTTCAATTAGTATTTATTCTTTCTTTTTCTTTGCATTTGCTTAGTTCAGTCAGTTGGTGGGCCGGCCCACTATGCGTTGCTAGCAAGCGCCGGTAGAGCCAGCCGGCGCCTGAAGTGGTGGTTAGGAGCACCCGTATTCCTTGACCACCCATCGGAATGCCAAGGTTTTCATTCACAACGGGTTTCTAAAAATTGTATTGTCAAACTAAGCCTCACATTAAAAAAAAGTGGACTAGTGACCGAAGCATTGAGCTTGTCGGTTCAGATATTCACCAATCCGACTGTCGGTTCACCTATCCATAGGTCCATCCGGATTTTTAACATAAAATTGTTCGTTCCATTCTATAAATTTCGGTCAAATAAAAGTGTTGGCTTCTACTATAGACAACAAAGGAACACAACTAAGGTTGTTATTGGGCCAAGGCTTAGACTACCTATTATGTGGCCTGGGATTGAACCTCACTTCTCTCAAATTTTGTCAAAACATTTCTTTTGTTAGTTCAGACATTTGATATATTTAGTTTTATATTGAAAGTAACAAGGACTGATATATGACATTCAACATAGAAATGATACAAGGAATTAATATTCTATGGAAGATATTTATAAAGCATTGTAAAAATGAGTTCATAATTTATAAAGCACCGGAGCGCGCCGAAAGTGGCCAGAATCGCCCGACGACGAGTAGCGACAGAAGGGGATCTAGAGAGGCTAAGAGAGAGCACAAGCAGAGTGAGAGAGAGAAAGACGGGGCGAGGTGGTCGTGGCCCCTCCGTTTTGAGTGCTTCCGATGCACTCTTGGGCTAGGCCCAATAGGCCAGTCAGCCAGTAATTACAAATTTTTAATTTATTAAAAGACTCAAAATAATACTAGTACTTTAATGAAAATCAAAACAATATTTTTACTTTAATAAAAATAATGAAAATACTAAACATACTTTTGAAAATGATAGCATGTCCAATTCAAATATTCTTAGTTTCAAAAAAATAACTACAATATTTTTTGACTACTATAATTAAAGTGTTCACCACCATTTACAAAAAATAAAAATGTAAGAAAATAAAACGACTTAAAATATATGATAAAAATGTTACCATTTCTAGTTACAACATTCAAAATTTAATAAAAGTAACTACAATATAATATTAAAAAAATCACAATTCTACAAAAAAGAAAAACGTAAAACTATTAGAAGTCTCGAAAATAGTTCAACATTTATAAAATACTAATATTATTAATTTAAGAAATTTAATTCCTAGATTTTTGGCGAATATATTTAATTATTACTTAAAAACATTTTTAATCAATTAAGAATAAATAATTACAAATAAAAGTAATTACAAAAAATAGACCCCATGTCATATAGTGTTGATGTGGGAACACATGACATGCCACAAGTAAACATAATAGTGTTGGCGTTCGATGTTATGCCATGTCACCACTATTTGACACTTTGTACCAACAGTTGGTCCCACCTACAAGTGGTGTTCAATAATTTTCGAACGCCAACACTAACCTAATAAAGTTGTCGTATCAAATATGCCAACACCACCACTATCTGAAAAAGCCATTTTTGTACTGGTATAGTAATTGATCCATGGATCAATAGTTGCTTTTATTTGTAAGTAAGTAGAAATATTTATGTAATTATAGTGGATTTGTGAACCCATACACTTCTCAAAGTAAGGTTAGAAGGAACAAGACGATGTAATCCACAGCGCAAACCATTACTTCATTATCGATCATTCCTTTGTACACCTCCATGAATTTATATATATCTTTGTCTATAAGGGCCCAAAATAGTACATCACCATAAGTAGAGAAATACATCCATCCTTTCAACTACCGTCATTGATGTTTCTAAAAAAAACATCACTGATCTATCATCGATCCTACATGGTTGTCTCGCTTATTATAAGGAAAGTCCAGTGAATGAATTCATGATCAATGCATACAGATCCCACGCTGCATGGGTCTGCTATCTAGACATGTTTCTTGTTCCTTCACTATTACTTGAGTTTCTGGACCAGGAGAAGACCGACTTGGACCAGGACATACGATCGTTGCTACGGACCATATCCTTCTATAATTTCAAGCTACCTACGATGCAATGCATTTGAGTAGAGATAATTACATCAACCCTTAACATATCCATATATTCTAGGTAGTAACTAAGTAAATACTACTATGCCTACCAGTAGCAACCATGTTATCATAAACCAGATTACCCTTGTGTTTACTCATATTTCACATTGTGGACAAATACATAAGTGGCATACATATGGACAATAAAGATGCCCTTTGTTACAAACCTTGACTGAAACACGACAACAACACAAAATTGCAGGGGAAATATGGAAATTATCTAGCCCATGGATATGCCAAGCCCATAAGTGACCTGCTAGAGTTTGCTTACTCCTCAAAGTTGATACAATCACACATCATTTGTCGTCGAGGTCTAGCCACATAATAAGCCAAATCAGTACATTGACTATAATTTCAAGAAACATTGCTTGGCTCCTACTGAGCACCATCCAAAAGCTCATTCATGAGGCCATCTTAGTTTAATTTTCGTTATACATAAGACCATGCTACAGGGAGTATACGACAATGTTGTGGCAGCTATATATGGTATCGTATTCGTAGTTTCGTACCCACTTGCAAAAATAAATGCTAGCTAGGCTATTGCACGTGGAAAAGGAACTAGCCAGGATGGTGCAGTGCAGATGGCCGCCGCCATCTTAAATTAGGCACCTCAGGTTAAGTTTTCCTCAAAGTAGTATTGTATATCCATTTCTTTGGTGATGTCCACGCTCATAGTTCGGTCTATGGTCTGCTTCTAAGATAATATAAGCACTTATTTGGAGCTACTTTTCATGTATTATTATAGCCTTGTCTGTTTTTGGTACTTTACTTGCTAATCCCTTGACTGATACCAGCATATAGAGTAGCAGCATATATACTCTCTCCGAGCGTTTAGATCACTAAAATAGTGTTCTAAACACTCTTATATTTCTTTACAGAGGGAGTAGCATGCTTTCTATATATGCTTGTATTCAGGATTACCGAAATAGTAGTACTTAGAACGGGCTGGGATTGCCATAGGCAGCTTAGGAGTTGTAACTTATGTGGCGCACATATTCAACAGGTGCGTGAAAAAAAATTAAATGGGTCAATCAATTTCCCGATCTAAATCTTGACCGTTGGATAATTATCCAACAGCCCACCATCCATCTTCTTCCAACCAACCGTCATTGCTCCTCTTCCTCCTCTAGGCGTGGACGTCTTTTTTTTTTTTGAGACCACATATTCATCATTACATAAAGTTGAAAAATACAACATATGTAGACCACACTGATCATTACATACTTGGACGTGGACGTCTTTCTGCCACTGGTGTGCGCCTTGCCCGCTACTCCTGCCCGTCCCTCTAATCCTCACTGGCACCATATTTTTTCCGACATGCCTGCACCCCCACTTGAACTGTCAATCATCGAACTCCCCTCTGCCTAGGACGCGGCAACCGCTTCTTCCTTTGTTCCAAGTTGTTCCTGCCCGTGCCATCGTCATTGTCCCCGCGCCTTGCTGCGCTTGCTGCGGTGCCGGTGGCTTCGGGGAATAACAAACGTGTAGCTTATATCGATCCGAACTTAGTTAATTAGGTATCGTAACAGGTATGCACTTATTGGCTTTGATCAACTTGTTGGCATAGTTAATTGAGCAGTTTGAGACATTGAGTGCGTTGTCATCACATGGCCAGCCTATCATCACCCTCCAAGTCAACAACTGCGTCATTTTCCGTCGCAAAAAAAAAAACTACGTCATTCCCTTGCCAACATGCATGCACGCGTGCAATTCCTTGGGAGCAAATAATTGCATGAATGGCAAGGTAGTCTTAATTTGTTGTTTCCCTTTTGAGCAGTGAGATAGAGAGAGCACGAGGAGGAGCGGCACGTCGTCGGTCAGTCAGCTGAGACTTTTGACCAGGCCGGGGTTGTTGCGCCTCGATCCATCAAATATATCATATGCACCCATCTCCCCTGTGCAGAGCCCCTGTAAAGTTGGACAAATTAGTAGGAGGCAACATAGTACTATATAAGGTTGGTGCGTGCAGCTTAACTCTACAGTCTACTATACATTAGATTCCGCGCACGAGCTGATTGCATATGCATGGATAACAAGATGACGAGCAGCAGCATGATGGTCGTCCATGGCGGCTCGGAGATGGACTCGTTGCTTAGGCGGCAGCAGGAGCTCGTGATTCAGCTCCGAGCGCTCATTCTTCCTGCGCTTCGCGACAGCAGGTCAGCCGGCCTCGCCGTCGACCTCTTTGATGGCGTGATTGACTGCATCAATGGCGTCATCTCCAGGCTCCAGAGTATCACCGCCGCAGGCGGTGAATCGGCGGCGGCCTTCGTCCTCGGCGACGTTATCTCCAACGGCGCCGGCGAGGGACAAGAGGAGAAGCCCGTGATCAGCAACGCTGGTCAGAAGAGAAGGTTTTTGATTTGCCAATAAGACTCCTGATTATATCATTTCAAAAAGACCCTTGATTATATTCTAGTCTCAATTCATTTGTTTTTGCGACATGATTTAGCTGGATTTCAAATTGCATCATCAGTTCATCACTAACACGTAATACATACTATTACCAATGTCCGAATTATAAGGCTTTTTGTATATTTTAATATGAACTACATACTGACTGAAATGAGCGAATAAACACAAAAAAACATGTCTACATACACTGATTCGTGGAAAAAGTTATAACATCTTATAATTCGGAATGTGAGGGAGTACGTTGTAGCACTGCCATTCTTTGATATATTGGTACTCTTTCATATATCTCGCTAATTAATTAATTATTTGCCACTAATATATATGTATGCATGCTATGTAGGAGGAACAACGAAAAGCGATCAAGATCACTTGTAACGATTGTTCCACATTATGATGGCCATCATTGGAGAAAATATGGCCAGAAGAAAATCAACGGGAGGCAACATGCTAGGTATCCATACTACTACCAAACAGTCATTCAAGCATATATATCGTCACATTACTACTACATCAACCTACATTTCCTTTTTCTTTTGAGGCCACATCAACCTACATTTCTGCTTCCCTTATCTGAGATGAGTGAGACTTATCGGTTCAGTTATGAAAAATACATTGGGGGCATACATAGTTTTGAGGGGAACGGGAGCTGTTGCGAGTAGCTACCCTACTCCAACAGGCCTAGTACACAGCCCAATAGATCTCTTTCTGTTATGTCTCTTGGTACCATCTCTCTCCTTTCGCCACTCTTGAGGAATCCTCGCCGCATATGCTTTGTCTCCTCCCTCGTCATTCTATTTTGTTCACAGTTTCTTCAAGTCTATTTGGATCTATGGAGAGCGGATGGCAAGGGGGATGAAGGGTAAGACTAGGCTTAGGCCATGGCAGTCAAGTTAGGCCTGTCATGTCCATGTCGCTCTCTTTTACGTTGCTAACTTTCTCGCATGATGACCTACTCAGTCGTTTGGATGTCTTGTCTTTTCAATCAATTTGGGGGCGACTTTCGCTAATGAAAGTAGTTGTCATATGTACATGTTATGAAGGAACTATTCTTCATTGTGATGCATAACTAATCAAACTTGCAATTAAACAGGAGCTACTACAAATGCGCCTACACGGAACGGAACTGCTCAGCAACCAAGACAATCCAACAACAGGAGCATAACAGAACTCTTAATTGTGAAGATGAAACTCCGAAGTACATTGTTGTGTACTATGGTCATCACAGTTGTAGGGATGAAAACACTAGAAATGGCACAAACAACGACCCTTGTATGGACCTAACTCAAAGTGGCAAAATAGCTGGAGCAGCGACAGACTTCGAAAAGTTTGACCAGGGGGACTTGGACATGTCGTCTCTAATGGAGGTGTTCGACAACCCTGAGCTGAATTGGAACATCATTTGCTAGCTACACCGAAGATCTGGACATTCATTAGAAAAGGGAAATATATAGCTCTATACAATGCACATTTTTGCTGAATTTAGAATTTTACATGAGTTGATAATCATGTCTAGTTTACAAATGTCTTGGACATGGGCAGAGATCCCTTTTATGTTTAAATGTATCTGTGGCTAGACATGTAGAAGTGCATAATTTATGTTGGTATTAATTGTAAGACAATCTATAAGTAAAGTTTATGGGCATTTAGGAAAATGTTTCTTTCATATTGCCATTAGTTAACTAACCTCAGACACACATAAAGGGAGAGATGTTGATTCCAATTGTACACAAATCTCACCCATTAGACTCGTTTATAGTGCATTCGGCGGCCAGTGTTTGCTTCCACAAGTCCCAACTCAACACCACGCTCTGGTCGGCTGTTTCCTGCACACTTCACGTGCTTGCATCAATGTCGACCTTTTTCCTCTTCTCTTCTTAGTCCGGCCTCTATTTATTTTACTTTTTTGTTGATCTCGTTATTTATTCATTGTATGATATAGCTTCCACCTTCGATATCTATACTTAGTGCAACTCGACAGTTGTATATGCAGCAGTCAGCCGATTGTCGGTTCGGGTGTGCTGATACCACAAGTAGATATCCAGGGATGAGAAACTGGGATTAGTTTGGCTTGTCTTTATATAGTCCGGCTAGAATATAGTGGCTAAGAAATGTAATAATACAAACTTGTAACGGATTGGGAAATAGTTGGGGCGAAAAACTTAGGACAAAAAGAACACCTTCAATATCCAAATCTTTTTCCTAACAGCAAGATAACACATTCTTCACTAAAAGAACAAGATATGAAGTTCTCTTGTTGTATCTGTCTTGGGTCTCCTCCTATGTGATAAGTGAGACGCCACCTGACATCCTGAACCACAAAATATTCCGAATTTTCTTTGCTTGCTCTCTTGACAGATATCAGTGTTTTATGATCTGACATGCAAAGAACCACAAAAATATTCAAAACGCTATCCGTTTGCTCTCTTTGACAAATACCCGTGTTTCATGATCTAACCTACACAGGACCAATAAACTATTGGATATGCCGCAAGAGATTCTTCTCTTAGATTTTCCAATGCTTCGAATAGACTGTGGGGTATGCAGCAAAGGACCAATAAACCTTGGGATAAACCATGGTGTTGGAAATGTTTTCAGTACTCCAGTCACCAAGGACACTTGCACTCATCTAATATTTTAGCATTACAATAGCAAACACATCAATTCGTACTAACTAAATACTTCCAGTGAGTAGTAGAATCATAACAAGATCCTTTGGTACAACCTATTCCCTGGAGGTCTTTCGGCATGTAAGGGGCTTGAGAAGAGGAATAACATATGGTCGGGTAGCGCTGTATGGCCTCCACACGAGCCGACACACCCTCAAATTTGGCTTGCTCACTTATATTGAGGACAAGATCAGTGGTTATGTGCCAGATGACGACGCCCTATCACTAGCAGAAAACGGGGCATTTGTCCCGGTTCTGAAATCGGGACTAAAGGGTCGGGACTAAAGCCCAAAACCTTTAGTCCCGGTTCGCTTATGAACCGGGGCAGAAAGGGCTCCACGTGGCCGCCGCGGGGCGCCCAGGCAGGAGCACCTTTGGTCCCGATTGGTAACACCAACCGGGACCAAAAGATATCCACGCGCCAGCAGCTGGCAGGAGCATGGGTTCTTGTTTTTTTCTAAAGGGGAGGGTTGGGGGTTTTGGAGGGTTAATTTAGGTGTTTCTTATATTGTGTTAGCTAGCTAACAGAGAGAAGTGACCGCTGTTATCTCCGTGCTTGGTCGACGCTAGCTACTATACATACAGAGAGAACTCGACACACTAGCTAGTAAGCAAATGAAGGAACCATTAATTACATAAGAACGTCATGAACATATACAAAGAGAAGTGCACCTCTCTTTCTCCAAGAGATTTGTCGAACAACAAGTTTTTGTATATCTATCCGAAGCTACTAGCTACATATATATAATATAAGATCTCTTACAATCCCTAACATCTAATGTCAACTTCCACATGGTATTCTCCGGATTTATTGATGACGTGGTCAAGAAAGAATCCCGCCAATTCCTCTTGAATTGCTCGTATGCGATCTTGTGGTAGGATTTCATCCCGCATCTGCCAGATCTAAATTGAAGAAGAGAGCCGGTCAATACATGTATATGAATAAAACTCAACACAAATGATGGTAATAAATATTTTTGCTTACGCACTTCATATTGTTTTTAGAGTAGCCCCGCTTATTAGAGGCCGTCGCGTTGTAGATGAACTCGCAAACATAGTATCCACAAAAATCATTCCAGGATTCCTGCCACAAGCACTTTACAAGAAATAGAGGTCAATCAAACTGATAAGCAAAAGCATGCTAAATGTTATTGATGAAACTAGCAAGAATCAATGGGAGATGCGCGGAACTAGATAGTAGTACTTACTTTTAGGTGTACAAATCGCAGCTCGCTCGGCTGTCCCGGCGTAATTACGTGAACTCTTTCCAAACCCTGCCAGACAAAGAAAATAATTACTTGATATCAGGAAATGAACAAAGTTACCAATATGGTGCGATAATGATCGATTGAACTTACTTCTGGAGCATTTGAGTCATGTCCGCATAGTCCTGGGGATCTTTTCGTCTCGAGCCTAAGACAGTTACTACTCCCCGCTCAAGCTTAATCTTTAGGAGAATATGGTGGAAGTTGCGCACGCATGCATAACTCATCAATTACATTAGTATAACCTCAAGTAATAAGGGAAACCGAATATGCACAAGACAGTAACACTCACTTGAAGTTGTAAGGAAAGAGTATTTTATCTTTGTTTTTATTTTTGAGCAACGATTGTAGCAAGTTGTCCTTAGTTTCTATGACATTGTGTTTAACTGTCCATTCATGTATGATATTTGAGTTAATGAACCCAATGTCATAGATTTGTGCTTTTCTGTATTCGACGGTCTTCAATCCGCATAATATTGTGAGATAATTATATATACACATGCAATGAAAGAGCTGAGCTATATACATGGACTTAATTATAGAAGTAGTACTTACAGACAGTAGCGAGTCACGAGTGTTTTGTCGAGGGCCTTTTGATTGTATAACTGGAGCAACTCGTCAAATTCAACAGATAACAGACCAGTTCCAACGAGGTCGTGCTCCTCTTTAACTCTCATCGTCAAAACATCCTTCCCAGACTCGCTGCAGGTTTTCATGTACCATTGACGGAATCTTCGCATCATCGTTGTTAGAGGAGGACTTCCATCTTTGACGAGAGGCTTCCTGTCGTGGTTTTGTCACGGTAGATGTCCTAGTGAAAGGACTTAGTCGTGGAGCCATCGCGACGGGTTAGCTTGAAGGGGTTAAAGCGGACACAGGGACGCAGAGAGTTTATACTAGTTCGGCCCCTTCGATGAAGGTAAAAGCCTACGTCTAGTTGTGATGGAATTGATGGGGTTTCGATGACTAGGGAGCAAACAAGCTTCGCCTAAGTCTCGAGTTGTTGTTGTCTGTCTTGAACCGCCGCCGGGTCGTCCCCTTATATACACGGGCGACGCCCGTCAGTTTACAGAGTCCCAATCACCGGTTCATACTCGTATCCGGGTTGGTCTCTCCTTATTCCTAACTTACAATACAAGTTCACATACCAGGCCGGTTTACGGCTACAGGTTCTAAACCGACTACAGGCATTGGGCCCTTATCTGCCTCTTTAGGCCTTAACACTTTTGAACTACTGATGAAGTTAACCCGGCCCAGGTAGGCCGGTTTACACCCAGTAGTAATATCTCCAACATTAGGCCCCAGATTGATTTGAACGGGTTCATGTCAATCCTTAGCAAAAATCTTTGTCTTTAACGTCTTCTTGTATTTGTTGAACCACCGTGATGTCACCTTCTCTGGTTGCTGTAAACCGGCATGACATCATCATGAAGATAACATTCATGATACCTTCTTTGTTAATAGATCCGCAATAACCAAGGTGACAGCTCCGCTTCCAAAATTTGCGGCTCCTGGATTCGCGTTCCTGACACATGTCTTTTGCCTCATAAATAGGACCGAAGGGTCATTTCTTTTTCCCCCCTTCGCCCCCTTTCTCTTCGTCTTCCTTGCGTCGCCAGCCTCGGAGCTCCGCCGCCGTCGCTGACCTCTGCACCATCTTGGGCCGCTGCATCAACCTGAACGCACCAGAAAACCGCGGCGATCTTCCGCGTCTCCCTCAGCTCCAGTAGGTCCTCTGCTTTTCTCGACCTAGATCTGTTCTAGGGTTTCACGTTCTTGCAGTGCTCTGCTCACTGTTCATACTCATGCCCAGACCTCTAGATAGATCCGTGAAACCCTACTGTGATTAACAGTGGCCTTTTAGCATCCGTCTGTAGATTCATGCTCAAGTCCATAGATCTCACAAATTTTCCTGCTCATTGAATCAATACTGCTCTGCTTTAAGCTTTTAAATATTTTTCCTCTTTTCCGAACTGGCTTTAGATCCATCGTCGTAGAGAGATTTTGTGAAATCTGTTTATGTACACTTATACAACCTCAACTGCCTTCAATGCTTAGATCTGGCGGTTTAACTTGGCATAGAAAATGTAATGAACCAGTATATACCATTAGTCCCCTTGTTGAACCGCCAGATGTTGTCACCTTGCATAACTCCGGTTTAGATAGAACTGCCTCCGGTTTAACATTATACATACCAGTATACTTAAATAAACGCACTCTTGAACCAGAACCACTTGTCTTGTAGATTTCATCATGGCCAAGAAAATATATGAGTGCAACTGGGTTCCTTCTCGTGTCACGGAAACACAGCTGAACAATTTAGTTCTGACCGGCGCTTTAAGCAGTAAAAATACCATCCACTGGAGAGTCCCGGGCAAAGAGTGTCCTCCCACACCTCAAGAAGGAGAGGTTGTTGTTTTTGAGGATCACTTGGCCCGGGGTTTTAATCCGCCCGGTTCAAAATTTTATCGGGAT